AACGCAGAACAAGGAAGCTGCTCCGACTTGTATGAATACTATAGCAAAACACTGTAAAAGGAATTTGAGTACTGTAAATATGCAGATCTCATCCAAACTGAATTTGGGTCCAATAGTTTTATCATGCTTTAGCCAGTGAACAGTTGTTAACATTGAAATAACACTTATTATTCCTCTTTTGATTTCCAAAGTGGAAATACAACACCATTTTCAAGCAGCTGGCATTTGTTGGAGTCAAATCAGAAATAACTGCAGCTTGATGTGAAAAGTTTGTCTGAGGGAAACATGCTCAAATCTTTCATGGCTGCTGTAGGATGGCTAGAACACATAAACATATTTGCCTATTCAAAAATGTACTGTATGCTCACACAGTCACACATTTGCATGAACGCACGTTACACAGGAACTTTGGACATTCAAACAAGGTGTGAATGTCAGATAGGACTTGTTTAAAACAGAAGAAAGGAAAGACTTGGGAAGCTGAGCTGAGTAGAGGACCAAGTGATGGCGGTGGGTCGTGTTCTCCAGTCTCAAGTAATGAGTGATCTGCTGACGTTCCGTGAGAAAGGTGTCATCATCGGTCTGCTGGAACCACACTGTAAGGTCAGTTAAGCTTTTTAGTCTCCTTCTAGGACCAAGTGAGATTAGTCAAATATGGCTTATATTTTGAGATATTAAACAGAGAACTAAACCTACATCAACGTGGCTAATTGTTGCTCAGATACAAGCAGAAATAAAGGTTTAAATACATTTAGTCCTAAACTTGGCTTGGGATTATTTTCATGCTATCAGCTGGAGCTATCAGGAGGCCTGGGGGATAATTGGGTTTCCTGTGTCGGCTAGCAGACAGGCAGGCTATCGGATCATATTTCTGTGGACCTGATACCAGCCCACAACCTCTGATCTGCAGAACCAAACTCACCGTCAGAACCTCAGAACCATCCTGGTTTGGACCAAAGAGGCCTGCTCAGCCTTATAGGACTGCTTTGAGCACAAACTGGAAGCTATGCGAAAGAAGCTGATCTGGAGGAATACACATAATCTGTCTTTCATCTGCTATGCCCTTATCAAAACTTTTTTTTTTGATAGATAGCACAGTGCTGTCTTTGAAAATAGCCTGGGATGGATTATTTAGATAAGGAGAAAAACTGTCCAACAGAGGGGCCCAATAATCCACAAAACTAATGAACACCAGCTTAGCCATAATAAACCTAAAAAAGCTTTTCTGCACATGTCGACCTTACAGGCAGCAGGAAGTATAGATATCCTCCATCAGAGTTCTAGTATCAGCCTCTCATTGAATGCATGAAGCAAGCTCCAACTTTAGGGGATTTAAACATCAAAAAGGCTGAAGGTCCAGTTTGACTTGGTGTCAAGTTGGACCCTAAAACAATGTGATGACCAACTTGAAGGTGTTTTTCTTCATCTTCAACCTCTCCCTGCAGCTTTCTATGGTATCTGCCACCCTTTAGTCCTCCATAACTGTGTCTGTACACACAAAAAAAACATCAGCTGGTTTTAACTATTACAACCCTGCCGCTCTGATTCCAATCATCATGAGGTGTGAAGTGGCCCGGACAGCCAGCTGTTCGTCTACAGGGAGAATTCCTCTAGTTAGGATGTTCTTGCCCCGACATGTTTGTTAGGATGCTTGCTGTTGTCTTCAGCTCAGCCTATAACACCGTCCTTCTAGAGATGCTAGACCGGAAATAAAATACACCTAGCAAATACTCTAAAATAGGTATATTTTCCCTTTATTTGGTTCAGTAAATAATATGATACGCCAATGGAATGAATATTTTTGCCCTTAAAATAAGATAATTAGATATTCAATTCATTTTAATTCAGTTTATTTATATAGCACCAAATTCACAACACATATCATCTCAAGGCACTTTACAGTTCAACCAGATCATCCAGTCAAATTGATACAAAGTTTTCTATCTAAGGAAAACCAGTTGATTGCATCGACTCATTGACTCAAATACAATTCCTCACACTAAGCATGCTTGTAGCGACAGTGGAGAGGAAAAACTCCCTTTGAACAGGAAGAAACCTCCAGCTGAACCAGAACTCAGTGTGAGTGGCCATCTGCTGAGGCCGACTGGGGTTCAAGGAGACAGAAGAATATTATGCATATAAAGTAAAAATAGTTGTTTCTTATTTAAACTTACATTTATTTTAAACTTAAATAATTTTATTCACATATACACACTGAAAGTCACCCTGTATCTGTGTGGAATGAGAGCTCCATGGCACAGGAGAGGAAGAACTTATCACAGGTGGTGAAGACAGCACAGGGGATCATGGGATGTCATCTGCTAGATCTGAATTAAGAATCTTCATGTTATTATGGGACCATAATAAAATGTCAGGACACTTAGCTCAGAATGCACATAAATAGAGCACACAAAAAAAGAGATAGAAATCCCAAATAAAAATGATCAGGCAAATAAAAAGTTTTATTTATGAGTTGTCTGCTTTTCGTAGTTTCATTTTTGACAGTGTATACTAAACTTAGATTCAATTAAACTTGCAGAAAAGTAAGTCATTTCCAACCCTAACCTTTCCAGCAAACTAAGTGTAACTAAATAGTTTTTATTGTAAATATAATTCCTGGTAAATGTAGAATTTCTCTAAGCTGCTGTTCAAATTGGAGAAGACAAGAGAGTAGGTAAGACATATGTTTGGTGATTTGCATAATTTAGGAAATATATAGTGATATATATATATATATATATATATATATATATATATATATATATATATATATATATATATATATATATATATATATATATAATTTTTTTTTACATATATATATTTACTATTAAAAAGGTTAAAACAACTTGAACTGTGACAGTTTGGATGAGACAAGGACCCGTGTTTATTTTTTCACCACTCAGTGAGCATGATGGTAAGAGAGAAAGAAAAAAGCTGAAGCTATTTTCTTTCAGCCATTCATTTTTATATTTTAATGAATTGGTATTCTCTTTGCTTTTTGATTCAATTTACAATAAATGTCAATAATCTCGGACAGCAGTTCAAAATATACACACACAAGAAGTATATTCAATATAAATATTTAACTCTGATCATTTAAATGATGTATTTTAGCTGCTCAAAACCACAGTAGCCCAGATACTCCAGGCCAAAGATTCTGGAGATGAAAGCAGAAGTTGGCATCGTTTGGACTGTGGTGTGGTTTGCCTCGTTGAGGACACGTCTGTGCAGTCCTACTTCCTGCGTCTCTACTGTGTCCAAGTAAGTGGAACAAGAGAGTTGTTACTCCACCCACTCAAAACACCCTGAAACGTGCAGTTTTCTGTTTTTTTATTTTTGTTCACTGTAAAGACGCAGTCATTTCTGTTTGCTTTGTGTGTACAAGCAGAGCTGCACGTATGGGACAGTTTCCTCTAATGTGCAGTTTCCTCTGCAAACAATGAGCTCTGTTCCAATTGGTCCATCTGCATTGCTGCACATATAACTCACTGTTTACAACCACTTTCACTTCTTCTTTTGTCCCTCCCTTTATCACAGCGTGAAAAGTTATTGTGGGAGCAGGAACTGTACATTCCTTTCAAATACACTGCGAGTCGTGCATACTTCCACACTTTCCCCGGAGAAGTAAGTTATCCTTACTAAATAGCCTTGCTCTATAGCAACCATACCACATAAACATGTTCACATTTCGCCATAAGTCAGCCACACATTTTCATTAATATTTGTGAATTTGGCATGATAATCAAAACCTAAGAAGTTAACACTGTGAAGCAGAGAGAAAGGGTCGTTCAACACCCTTGTGTCACTAATCCAGTCCACCACCTTATTGCTATTGTACAGTCACAGCTGTACAATCACAGTGCTTAGAGGAATAAAGCAACAATAATAAGGATCATGAGGTCTGGTCTAAAGGTTTTTTTTTCATATCATGCATGATCAGTTTGCTGTGGTTTTTGGTCTTCATGATGTTTGTTTTTTCTAATGTTATCTAATAAAGGGATTTAGAGACCTAAATAGAAGCATTTGATTTATACTGAGATTGAAGAACATTAGTGTATATTTCTTAGGTGACCTTTGAAGGAAATTGGTAATTGTTATTTTATTTCTAAATAGGAGATTAAAAGCAGCTAAACCAATCTCCTCACCACTTCTCCTTACCCACTTTCTGCACATTTGATTCTTAATTACTTTTTCTTTCTGTTTTACACTTAAGCTCTAAACTTTGTTGCTCTCTTGGTTTTGTTTGTCTATCCTATAAATATTCAAATAGCATATGTTGATGTTTGTAGCTTTAATGTAAAAATGAGCAAATGAGAAAACAATGATTTTGCTCTACCTCTGCAGGCCCACCAGGTCGGTCTCAACTTTGCAAATGAAAATGAGGCAGAGGAGTTTCAGTTTGCTGTGGAGGGGGTTCAAGGTCATCACACTAAGAAGCAGATGAATTTTATCTCGGATTAAATTTGTTTTTACCCTTTTGCACATGCTTTCAAAGAGAAAAAAGTTTTTAACTGTTAGTCTCCATTTATCTGTTTTAACTTGCAGAACAGCTGGCAGCCATGATTAACATGACAAACACTGGAGAGAAGAGCATTTCATCAAGCAATCTACCTGTTTCATGGTATAAATGAATCCAAGTTTAATAGAAATCCTGAGAAGTTAATTGAAGACACAATTTACAGCCAGTTTGTGTTCCTTACAGGAAAAAAGATGTTGGGAAATTGTATAAGGAGCCAATTTCTACCCCACGTGTTTCAGCCTCTCAGGGTTTGGTAAGCTAGCTCAAAGATGGCGATACAGATGAGACAAACATGTTTCAGTGAAAATGTCAATGTCTCAAGAAAACCCATCTCTGTGCACATTTTTGTTTTCTGCTGTAACCTCCTTTAGTTCTCAGATCTGGATCATGGGATGAGAAGGTTGTTAATGGAGGCAGGACTCAGTGAGGAAGACCTGAAACACAAAGATGTTCCTGAGGTGGTTGATTGCATCATCAACCACTTTGGAGGCGTTAAAGCTGTGCAAAGGGAGCTAAGGAAGAGAGGTTTATTGGTTTTAATTCCTCAAAAGGATTTTGTAGAAGCAAACACATCTTTTATCACTTCCTTTTTTCTTCAGATGAAAACATTGGCATATAAATAAATCCTTTTTCTGACATATTTTAAAGGCCCAGTGTGTCAAACTTTGCCGAGAGCTGCAGGGGCGTCCATCTCCATGGCTTTGCACAAAGGTCCTTTACCACCGGCTCCTGTAACCCAAAACTATCAGCAGACACCAGAGAATATGACCACGACAGATGAAGTTCTGGATACCCCTACTGCTGGTTCAGCACCAGGAAGAATGAGAAGAAGTGCGAGTTTTAAAGACGTAAGAAGAACATGGTTCTTTGTGTGCATTTGTTTTTTTCAATACTTAAAGATTAAACCAACTGCTTGTGTTGTTAGGTGGGCTTCACACCAGAACCACAAGGAAATGATCTCTTCCTGAATGCATTGAGAGAAGTATTCAAACAGAAGCAGATGTTCCAGCAAACCTCAAGAGAATTTCCTAATTAAGACTTAAAAAAGAAAAATAATGATGTAGGAATTAAATTAAGAGTAAAAAAAAAGAAGCTTTGCTGCATTAAGATATCCAAGCAATATATGATGTCAGGAGTCATCACTGCATCAATAAGAAAGACCTGGATATATTGAAAATCCTGATGTTTTACATTTAAGAAATTACAAATTGTTATTCTGTGACCAATCACAAGCAATCCCTCAGAGTACACTCAGAAAAGTTTGACCATTGTCTACTTAAAAAAATGAAGGCAACAAAGGGACACTTAATATAAGTAAATAATTTTAATTATCTCAACTTTGATAAAGACCTATTGATTTAATTACGCAAATTTAAACAAAATTATTAATTACACACAAAAAAAAAACTGGTTGAAATATTTTGGATTTACTAATAATAAGGCAAATGTTTAGTAAATCCGAAACAAATATACATGGAAAACTGATTAATATTTATTAGGTATCTGAAAGGAAGTAATTTATATACACCAAATATCTGTGAAAAATTGATTTACCTTTACCAATTAATTGGGTGAAAGTAATTTATATTTACTACTTATGTGGATGAAATTGATTTCTATTTACAAAATATCAGGATACAAATTATTTAGATTCAATAAAATAAGTTACATCTAACCATAAATTGGAACAATGTTACCTAATTCAACACATTTAAACCGTGATTTTTATTTATCTTTACATAACTGAATTGATAAAATCGGCCTATAATTGGTACCTCAAGACTTCAAATCTATTTACCGGTAATGTTAATGATTGTCACTTTGTTGCCATATTTTTAAATGTCTAATCTACTCAATACCATGCGTTCTTTTTACTGAAGGGTAGCTAATAAATAACCATATTAAGAACAACAGGTAAACAAGAGGTAAACATTAATTTATTTATTTTTTATCTACAAAGAACTTTTTTTTCAAAAACAAAGGCACCTGTTATTTGAGGAAGGCTAATTGCACAGGAAGATTTCTCAACCAGTGGAACAAAACAAGCGTAAAGACCCACATTGAATGTTGTCCATTGTCATAATAAAGCTGTGGGTTGCTTTTGCAAGAACATGAAAAACATCATCATGAAAAAAAAGTGTGTTGTTTTGCCTCTGTGAAAGTGGACTGTGATACTGGGCTCCATATCCTGGAGGCAAAGTATTTATGGTCCATTAAGAAGCTCTGTGTTTTCAACACACAAATCTCACTGTCCTGGTTACAATGCAGCATTATCATGTACTCTGTAATTCTGGAATACCAAGCTACAAATGAGTATGGGTAACATTGTTTCTGAACAAAACTTGAACACTTAAATGTAGCACAGAATAACTGAGCACTCCAGTGTATTTTGGCTCCTTTTTTTAAGCCAGTAACTTGCTCCTGAGGCTGTTGGGTTTTGTGGAAAGCTTTGAACAATCAAGATCTAGAATACCTTAGCTCTTTGGGGTGGTCAAGATTCACTGCAAATGTCAAACCAATGAGCAATGCAAAAGCTCTTAGAAAATTACCCAGAGCCATCAGGACCTTTGTTCTATCACGATTCCGATGTCCTTTGTACCCTCTGACTCTGGATGCTGTAGATTTTCATCCTTTGTAAAGCAAGGTCCTGTGCCACATGATCTGCATCCTAATATAACAAGAATAAGTTGTTATTTTAGACTGTACAGCTAAAGGAGATGGTCCTAAATAAATAGAGATTGAGAGGGAGAAATATGCATCAGACTTTTTAAAGAGCTGATGGGCAGATTCCTCAAGGTACAACATCAGACATTGGATGACAATGTCTCTGGTTGTGATTATGTTAGGACTCCTAGGGGCCTAAAAAACAGAAGAAAAAAAATTATATTTTAAATAGTGATGGAGCAGTTTTTAACACCAGGAGGCATAGGCTTTAGGAAACCACTGTCATTGTTACTTTTTGTTCCTGAAAATGACTAGCTATGAGCCCAGAAGGTCACTGTCGCTGGAAAAATAGAAACTTTAATAGCACCAAATTTACAAAAATGTTGAAATGTTATGTTTACCACAGGACATACGATGGGAGAGCTGGTAGGCGAGTTTTGTCACCTTTGGACAAACAAAGGTGGACAAAGCTTCCCTGTTTCTGTTTTTTTATGACAAGATATTCTGTTGGTTGGACCTTTAAATTTAATCAGGCTAATCAGGAGATTGGGAGCAGGTGTGGATAAAGGAGTCTTTTAGGGATCTATGGAAAAGGAGACTGATACAGGAGGGCAAACAAGAAAAACACAAGAACTCAAATACAGTCAAAACCATGACACTTGTATGTGTGGTTACTATGCGTTGCTGAAGTAATCAGACTTTTGCTTACAGTTATTTGAGTAGAAAGATGTTACTGTTACAACAAAGGTTTAATGTACTCAGAAAATTATACCCGTTTATCAAATTATTTTTTGATTTGTAAAAAAAATAAAAAATAAATTGCGATAAAAATATGACAACAAATTGACAACATGTTTGGGATAAAAACATTGTACATGTTGCACCATGTTAAAATGTTTTTATTACACGTCTTAAGTCCCTTAAGTAGACAGTTGATTTGTGGAGAAAAAAAAAATGGCCATTTCTAATCCCGCTTGGCACATGCATCAATTCACTGCATCCTTTAAGTTTCACAAATCAGAGAAAGGTTTCAAAAATACCAAACCTGGTTTTAATTATTCTTCAAGTAGTTTATAATAATCTAGTCCAAGTTAGATGTGTCTAGATGTTCCCCTGTGACTTCTGGAGGTTATTAGGTGCTTAATATGACAGAGCACCTCACAGAAGCTATTTTAACCCGTTGTACACTAGGGCATGGACAAAAATTAGGACTAGTCAACTTAATTAAGCTGAGTCAACCCACATCTGGACATGTCCAATGCCCAAACACGGTTTAAAAATAGAGAATTTCCATTGAGTAGAGTTAATTCATTTTCTGTCATTGTTGACTTGAGTGATAAAATATTATTAAATTCTACCCGGTGATTCTTAGTTGATATTATTATATTATAACAAATATTATTATTATAACAAAAATTAATAAAAAACAATTGACAAATACTTCATCTTTGATTAAATTAACATAATAATATCCCAACCTGTACACACAGACAACTTTTTCTTGTAAAGGTTAACTTTGTTAATATTAATTAAGCTCAGTCTCACTTTTTGGAGTGTCGCTTTTAGATGGTTATATACTTGTAGAAGATCAATGGGGCTACTTATACGCTTTTTAATTAAGGTCAGTGCTAGTAATTTTTCCAAGATGATCCAACATTTACCTGTAAAGAAATAAACGATCATATTTTACATTCTCAAAATAAAACGTGATGAAACTGTCCACGATTACTAAAGCTAGGCTCTGTTATTGTCCTAAACCTGTGTGGGAGTGTCTCTTCCTAATCTTATAGCAGGATAAGTCTTTGTGTACTTTTGTATTTGGTGTGTGTCTATGGGTGATTCTAAACAGGGGCCAACAGGGGCCAGTCCCCTTGACGGACTGGTTATGACCCCTGTACTGCAAAAATAACACTAAATCAATTTGTTAAGATGATGTGCTCTAACTGAAGAAAGCATTACTGAATGATTTCTTGAAGCATCTTAATCTTTTACTTTTACTGTTTAACAATTGTTTTGAAATTAAGGTGCATAACTTTAAACTTTAGCTGCAGTAAGATATTAGTTTTCTTCATTTAGATCAGGGGTCTACAACCTTTGCTTTATGACTCATATTTTGTGTGTTTTTTTTTGTTGTTTTGTTATGTGCTCCCCATGATAAACACTGGCACACCCCACCCCCCTGGTAATTATGGCCTAGAACCGCAACTGTGTGTGTCCAGTGTCAACAATTCTCTAAACCCATCATTTCATACCTGTGCCATGTCCCATTTAAAATTAAAATTCACCCTTTGCAAATCAACATATTGAAAGTAAAAATGTAACTACTTTTGCACGAACGATGATTTAGCTGTTAAATGGCCTATACTTGTACAGCACTTTTTTGCTTCCCAGATTTCAGGTATTCAGTCACCCATTTGTAAATTTTTGTATTTGTAAACAAATTCACATGCTGACATATTCATCTTTGAAATAGTTCAGGAAAAAGACACCTTTCACAACCACATTGCTTTTTTGAACATTGTAGTTTAAAATGTCAGGTAACGTAAATGCAGTGGAACCCAATAAACAAAAAATGTTGCAACAGTGTTTTGGAAATATACCTATGTACGAAATAAAGTTTTTCACAACTAGGCCATTCTGAGGCCATTCCTGGGTTTAAGGAGTGGATGGATTACTAAACAGACCAACTATCAACAAGACATGTGGGCATAAAACTGAACCCATGCCAAACACGAAACACCACCCAGAAATAGATTAGTAGAGTTTTAAAGCTAAAGTGGTGAAAAATGCCAAGAAACTAATAGACATTTTTCTCTTTTTTATCAATGGTTATTGAAAATCTAAATATTTTTAAAATAGATTAATGACTACAGAAGGAGAACATGATTTTGAAGACAGAGAGATAGGATCTCAGATATAACAGAATAACAATGACTAAACAAAACAGAAAAGTAACCCAATTGTGGCACAAAATAACTTTGAAATGACACAGAAGGTCTTAACAAAAGGAAATGTATAAAAAGAAAACCTAATTATTGTAGGACAACACAAAAGACATTAAGATACAAAATATTTTTAAAAGGCATAAAACTTAAAAGAATGCTTTTACCTAATTAGCATTAAATAATCACACTCATACACAAAAATGTTCAACATCATTGTCTTGTGTGTGTTTGCATATTTTTGATTTGATGCCATAATGAGTTTCAACTCAGTTTATTTATTTAGCGCCAACTCACAACATGTCAGGTGAAGGCAATTTACAGGGCAACTTCATACAGATATGTCAGCTTAAGGTTTTCTGTCCAACTTTACTGGAATCTGGATCTGGAACTCAGTGAGCTGGTGACCCGGAACTGGAAGTGAGAATGGAAGTTCAATGGTCAGTTCAGGTTCTGTGGGAATCTTGGAAGCTCAGATATTGAGCGTGGTTTGGAACTCACGTTTAAGTGGGGCCTTGTTAGTCCTTGAATCAAGACTGTGTGGTGAATCCAGGGTTAGGTGCACATGTTGGAGGGCAGACAGGTTTGACTAGTGTTGGACCCGGAGGAGTAATGGAGCGGACTGTCACTCTGATTTTTGATAGGAACTTGAACGGAACTTGTGAAGGTTTTCCCCTGCTCAGTGTAACTCGGTTTATCCTTCCAGTGGAGAGAAGGTCCAGGTATCCAGTAACACAGGAAAGCTTCCTGCTGAGGAGCAAAGACAAAAAACAAGTTAGACTCAGAGAAACAAAGCTAGATTAGACTCACCTAAACTCAGCTTGGCTAGAGTACCCAAAACTGGCAAACACTCTGGCGTCGAGGTAGTGACAGTCCACTGCTCAAATACTCCTCCAGATAATGATCCAATGAGCCGCAGGTGTGCAGGAGGGGCAACGAAGACAGGGCACCAACTGGTGGTGAAAAACGGAGACATACAAACAGGCCACACAAACTGGATTCCTAACACAATGCTCTGGATTACCCATAATTCCAAGTCGTTTTGTAAAAAAATAAAATACTCAAATACATTGTTCTTTTAATATTTTTATTGTGTTTGAAATATTTTATATGAGTGTGTTTTTTACCAACCTTCTAATGAGCTATACACAACTATTAACATAGTAATTAAAAGTACCACTATCTGCTTTGCTATTGGTGGGTTACTGTGGTGTTTAAACGGCTCACCAACATGTAGAAATCTGCCATGTGTTGGGGTATAAATAAGGTCAAACAGTATCAGGAGGGTTTAAGAAGAATTTTTCGCATCACCTCATCTGCAAAGACATGTCTTTGTTCAGGGGCCCCTAAGAGCTGGGGGCCCCTCTCTGCTTACCGATAGTTACGCCGTTGGTTGGGTCTATAATTAGCTTCCAACTTTGAACTGCTTCAGTTTGTAACAAGTGACTGAATAAAGGTTTCCCAAACTTATTTATTTTATAAGCTGCTCTGTTGAAGCTGTGTTCTCTTTTTACATTGTAGAAAGGAAAATAATTTCTATTCAGTGTTTGGTTTTCCTTTGGACTAATTCACAGTACTGTACTTCCGCATATAAACCTTGAGACAGTCATGGCGCTTCATTGCTTAATTAGTCTAAAAAGCTCCATCTAATGTAGGGTAAGATGTCCTTCTGGGCCAGTGATGGTTTCGGTCACGCACACACAAAAGCTTCATGTAGGTTTCCAAACATGTGCTCTCTGTTTAGATGGAGGTGGATGAGCACGCGCCCGTGTGCCATATCCAACAGCACGCTTAGCGCGCGCTCTCCCAATTCATTCATCGCTGCCTGCGCTCTGCTGTGGACATCTCCCACTCACTGCTCTGCAGACTGACAGCAAGAGGGCTTTAAACCGAGACCATGAGGGGCTCCTGCCGCCCGAACAACCCACGAGACAGGCCAGGTAGGCGGCGGAGCAGACCTCCGCTCTCACTTTCCTCCCTCTTGTTCGGTTTCTGGTCGTGAGGCTGTTTGGAGCGGATACTGTGTGCAGACACAGAGCTGCAGCTGGGTTAGCAGGCGGACCAAGTAAACAAGTCAGCGTCACGTAGGCTTCGTTCAGAGCTGACAGAAGGAGAGTCGGAGCAGACTGCAAGTTACAGACGCGAAATGAGCTACAAATGATTGTTCTGTTATTTAAAGCTTGTTTATGTGGAGGATGCTTTGTTTTGGTGGCGCCTTATCAGCTGCTTAGCCTGGCTGCAGCTTAAACAAACTGACATGTTGACAGTTTGGAGAAGGAAATCTAGGAACTGTATATTATGCATGTCTTTTATTACTAGTTTATTACTCTTAAACACATTGCATGAGACAACAGTACCTTTTTATTGACTGGATCCGCTTTATTATGATAAATAGGAATATCCCGGAAAAAAAAACAAAGGAGCAGTTTCATATAAATTAATATAATATATATAATATAATATAATAATAAATTAAATAAGGCAGTGCTTCTTCAACAAATAAATATCATCCTACTTCCAAACTATAAACAAAAGTTTCATATTTTCATTGAATACATAACACAAAAGGTAAACAACAATAACAATGGAAAACAGGAGAGGATTTTGTTTTCAGCAAATCAATAAATTGCAAGCATCAAGTGCATACCAATTTTGAAAAGCAGATAAACAAATATATAATTAAAACAATTGAGCATGTAAATTAAAAAAATATCTTAGGCAAATGAAAACAAATCACAAATCAATGTATAAAAAATGAATCCTTTATGAACGTAGGTGAAAAAAAAATGCGAAATCCTCAAATTTAAGAAGATAAACATTTGAAAAGGAGTAAAAAAAAAATATTTGGATTTTGCAAAAGCCTTACTTTATACCTTAGAATAAATGTTTTACACTCCATCTATCTTAGCTACATGACGCTTAGTTTATGCTTGGTTTAAGTAGTTATTCATCACTTATTATAACCAATTTTTCCATGTATTAAATTAAACTAAGACCATTACATATAAAAGCTTTATTCTAGCACTTGTGACAAACTGTTCACACCTGCTGCAGGTAAAGTGTTGGCATGGAGCGGACAGATGGAGAGGAGCTTTCTGTGATAATTTAAGGTTTGCAATCCGATTCAACATGTGCTCCAGTGTTAGTAGATTCACATTTAAGTCTCTACATCTCTCTATGTGATGTTTGCCTCATTTTAAATAATTAAAACCCTTTTTTTGTTTATGTTTGAGAACTCTGCACAATCAGAAAGGTCAGCGTAGCACATTAAAGGAAGGGGTTACTATGACCTATATAATCCAGAGTGTCCGTTCTTATGACAGGGTTCTGTTATGTAATTTCATTAGTCAGATGTCCTGGAGGCTTATTTAGTCTAATATTACAGTGCTGTCATTTTTAATAAGCAGGATGCAGACAGATACTTCCAAGTGTGCTAACTAAGGTTTAGATGGCTGTTGTGGCAGCAGTATGGAGGATGGACGGAGCTGGAGAGGTGCTCCATTTTAAAACTACCTGAGAGGAGGGGCTGAACCTAAAAACATACCAGAGGGCAACCTGCTGATTTATGTATTTTAAGATATTTAAACAGCTCCTTTGTGACATACTTGGCTATTCCCTATGGCTACTATACTGCAAAACTTAGCTTTGACTCCTATGTGTAGTGGATACACTTGAGATGGTGCAGCAGACCTCTGTATTATGTGTGCTATTACCGACACACTACATTAGCTCTATATAACATTAGATATGGAAAAAATAGAAAGGCTAATTTCCTTTGATGCAGCGTCTAAAATCTTTGTTTTAACATTTATATATGTGACAGATACTTGCTGTGGATCATCATCATGGTAGATCCCTGTTGTCCTTCCAAGCATAACTGCGAGATTTCTCTTCACTCCTTCCTCCCTCCCTCCCTCTCTCTCTCTCTCGCTCTCGCTTTATCTGGGGGAAAGTTCACCCGCTCACTCAGAATCACATTAACAGCTCCGAGCGGGCCTGTGTTATGGCAATGCAGTGAGTGTGGGAATGTGGACCAACACAGCTGACGCTTTAGCATGTAGGACCATCATACCCTGGGAAAGGCATCAAGGGCGTGAAGGTTAAATAGAGTATGAGCTATTAAAAGACCTTCTAAGCAATTATTTTTAGTGTGGAATTACTATACAGTGTTCTTATTACACAGGGTTTAATATGGCGCCCCATTTTAACCTCTTTTGGAAAGACTGTCTGCGGTTAAAACATATATTCATATGAACCATTATTTCAGAAGGGCTTTGTTGGATCAAGCACTGGGTCAACCAGGATGGTTTCACTTTTTTGGTGCCGTCAACAAGCTTCTGGTTTAGTTACTCCTTACTCTACAACCTATATCACATGAATGTGTAGTGCTGTGAATTTAGGTTAAGCATAAAGGTGTGTGAATTTTTCTTTTGGGTAGCACCCTCTGACCAAATGCCAATGTTTAATCTTTCTACACACAACTAACTTTATTTCCTTGTAGGTTAATCATTTGGTCAGAATGATGAAACTTAAACACAACCAGTTTTTCAAGCAGGACAAGGATTTCGAACATAGGTGGTTTTCTAGTAGATTAAAACAGGATGACATTTAGGTTCTGTAAAAGTCCTGACCTGGACTGATAAATAAAAGCTGGGTTAATGCCAGGAAATAAAACTGCTTTAACTATGATTTGACAAATATCGACCCAAAATTATGCCAGAAGCTTGATTATGGCAAGAAAAAGCGAAACCATCTCCTTTCACATCAGCATCTGACCTCAGAATTACACTTTAGGAAAAATAACCAAATATTAAGATACCTTAACCTTAGAGTGAAAAAGACTGAAACCTTACTAAGAGCCTTGTTATAATTAGAAATCTGTACAGGATTTCAGCAAATTGCTTATCAATACCGGACAAAAATGTTAGTGAGGGTCTATGAATATGTTTGGGCAATTATGAGCTTAAGAAACAAAGCACAATATAATCCAACTTGTGTACTTGTGTTTTTTTTTTTACATGTTAGATTATATTTTCAGTAATAGATTAATCTTAAAAGAGAACGTTAAACTTCCCCAATAAACAAATGTTTTAAAAGTAAAAAAAACAAAACATTAATAGCATGTTTTAAACTAATTATTAAAGGAACATTTATACAAACAAATTCAATGCTTACAACAGTGTAATTTACTCTTACCATCAGTACGATAGGCCTTTATTTTGAAATCCACAAGGCAAAAGACTATAGAGCAGGTCTTATTATCATTTTTATATTTAGATATTTAGACATATTTGTTCTTGATTGGAATGCAGTGAAGTGCTTAACAGTTTTTTTTAAACAAAGCTAAAACTAGAGAAGTTCTGGACAAAGAAGTGACAAAGTAGATTTTTAATTTGAAATGGAAAATGTTTATATCCATGTACTATTATAGGCGTATTTACTTCTCTTAGTAGGTTACTCTATCAGAAGATGACAGGTTTCTGGTACTCCAATTATTGATTTCATTGGGTTACCAAATTTCTTGACGATTGTTTCAATAATCGATTAATCATGATTATTCCGATAAACATTAAGCTATAATAAACATTCTCTCCAAAAATTACCGACTTTAAACCCATACATTAAAGCCCAAACATATAATAATAACACTACCCGTGATGACCGGATGTAAACTTCTTATTGCTACTGTATGTGCAGCCTTGAAAGTCATTTCTTTAATCCCCACAGGTTTAGCAAAAACACTGCCACACCAGTACTTCATCTCTCAAAATATTACTTTGATGTCTGTTAAATAAGACCTCTGTTTGTATTCATTCCCAAGCAAAGCCTAAAAAAAGTACATGTTGAATCTTGACCTGTTGCTTCCCAGTAGTTTGATGGAAAGCACGCCCCTCATTGTTTAAATCAACAGTTATCTGTTTACTTTTCTTGTGATGCAATCAATCAAGCTGCCCATTTAATCAGCCTGTATGTTAGCATATCCACAGAAATCACATGGCAAACTCCTGTCCACAGCCAGGACAATGTTGTGGCTTAGCTAAAATATAGCTAAAAAAAAAGATCCACTTGTATATGCACACTTAAGATTTACCTGGATTCAATGTCCAGAGCGGTATTTCATAAAACTTGCTAAGAAGAGCTAGATATGGATGCCCTAAGCTAAATCCAATTAGGCAGAACATTTCAGGACGCGATAACTGGGTTTCATCAAAAGGACACCTCGCTTGCTTAATGCCCCTAACACAAGACAGGTTCAATTAATTTGTGTTGCATATTAGCAGACGGTCACAGAGTTCATTAAGGAACTATGCTGAAACATACCGTGTTTCATTGGTAGAAAGCTATCGGGAGTTTAGAAATGCAATTGAAAATAAATGGGAAATATTATTGCCATAAATAAACCAGATATTAAAGGAAAACAAGTAAATACAGCATGAGAGGAATTTTTACAGGCTGAAGCTTTCCAGCAGAAACATGTCATGAGATTGATGAATGTTGCTGTTTTGCACTCGGTCCAAAGTGACACACCTTTGCAACAGGTTTTGCAAGTTTTATAATTACATTTGCTTTAAGTGAACCACCATAAGCTAAGTGAAATACCTCATTTTAAAATATATCTCATGAAAGGTATTATAAGAAGTTCTTTATGATTGGGTTT